GTCCATATAGACCTAATTAATCATCTCAAAGGATTTGTAACCTCAGGGTGATGTAAGGATTGGTATGGACCCAATTGATCGCCCCTAGAGAATTGGTAACCTCGGGGTGATGTAGGGAATCGACATCGACCCAATTGATTGCTCCAGAGGATTGGTAACCTCAGGGTGATGTAGAGAATCGACATGGACCCAATTGATCGCCCAAGAGAATTGGTAAGCTAGGGATGATGTTGGAATCTACATGGACCCAATTGATTACCTCCAGGGGATTGGTAACCTTAGGGTGATGTTGGGATTGTCATGGATCCAATTGATTGCCCCCAGGAGATTGGTAACTCCCGAGGTGATGTAGGAATCGGCATGGATATAATGATATTGTTAAGAAATTCATATGAACCAAGATAGTTTGCGGAGTTTTGAAGCATACCATATTTATTGTGCTTTGATAATGACCAAGTGGTCCCCCAAGCACCATTTCATAGAGTGTCTTGGCTTTGGTACACACCTCTCCTTATCTTCAATTTATTATCAACTCTGTTAGTTGATTTTGTTGGCCTTTGAAATATAGAATTTGTATAGGTTAATAACTAAAATCTCTTGAAAAAAAATGAATGAGAAAGAGAAATTGGGGGTTTCTTCTGGCCCAAAGATAGCCAGATGGTGTAATATTATACAAAGTAGGAAAATAGTTAACAAATGTTGCCCAATAACTATTTATATCCCAAGTACAATATATTAAAAACAAATTATGAAAGAATGTCAACATCTAGTCTTGTATAAGATAGTTTTGCTTTCACTGGTGACAGTGAAAGTTTAAAACTTTTTTAAAATAATAAATTCAATGATTTGCTTTTTCAATGCTTTCATCAGTGGTGATTTATGGCAAATTATGCATTGAAGTTCAAGAATGTTTCAACATTGAATATTCTACACCAAAGAGAATACGTACTAATGAAAACTCTTCTATGCTTTGGCATAGAAGGTTGGGGCACATCTCAAAGGATAGAATGACTCGATTAATAAAACAAAACATTTTATCAAACTTGGATTTAAAGGATTTTAAAATTTGCATAAACTGTTTCGAGGGTAAAACTACTAATACAAGAAAAATTGGTGCAACCAGAAGTAATGACCTTTTAGAAACCATTCACACAGATGTGTGGTCCATTTCCAACAAGAACTCTCTCTCTCTCTCTCGTACCTAGGCGCTGCCCATTTCGATGCAACCACCTCGCGCTCGGGCACACCATTCAAAGCCGGTTGAGGCCGGACCTGTCTAGCTTCGAGATCAGGATGGGCTTCGAGCTCTCGGGACCTGGGCAGCAGCAAAGATATCTGACTTGAATCACTACCATTGGTTTCGCTAGAGAACTTGGGGCGGAATCTAGAGTGGGAGGCCATGGATATGGACAAGGTCGGGTTTTCGGGTGGGAGTTTGACATTTTAGGGAAATGGGTTCAGTCAAGGAAATAAAACTAGTGGCGCATCAATGCAGATCTGAAAATGTACTCCAAGTTTAGGTTTTGAAATTAGTTGAAGAATTTATTTTTATTTTTTCTCTCTGAATTTGGGTGGGTTATGGTGGAGATTGTGGAGGTTCAAGAGAGAAAGAGAAGCAAGTGGTGGGTGGGTGGGGCTTAGGGGTGTAAATTGGATTGGAAAATCCGATTCTGACCTATTCGTGTCCGAATATTTCCAAAACAATCCGACTCCGATAAATTCGACATCCGAAAATGCCCAATCCAATATTTCCGATAAATGCCGAAAATTCCGAAATTCCGAAAGTTATCCGAACCCATTCCGATCTAAGTTTTCCAATTTTTTTCCGAAAATTCTGAAATTCTAATTATATATTGCATTATTTTTAGTGTATAGGTCTTATATATGTTTTTAGTACCCCACATACAAATATTCATATATACTAACATAGGCTCCGCAACAAAAAAAAAAACTAAACATATTAGTTTAAGACTATATATTTTTGGCAAATGTGCTTGTTTGAATATAACAAAAATGCATATGTGTGCTTGTTATATTTAAACGTACTACATATGTGGTAAATGTAGAGAGTATCATACTATTTCATTTTGTATTCTATGTCTGTATGTATTTTTTAAAATTTTAAACTATCTTCATTTAAAGTTTAAACTTTCAATTATAAAATTATTTTATACATGAAACACCACATATAAGATAAGTATAGCTTGGCAATCATAGTATTCCAATTGTCTAGAGCAAAACTAACATATTGAATGCAAGTTTAACACTCTTTACACATATAACATGTAAGCACAAGCTACTTTGATTAAGAATGAACAAATAGTACTATAGATTGTTGTGTGTATATTAGGAGGTTTTCAATGGTTAAGATTATATAATTTTCTTAGATTTTTAATCAGTTTTCATGCAAATTGGAGAATGAACTCGGGATTAACCAAATGAATATTAAAATGAGACATTTAAATGTCTTCCACCAAATTGGGTGCATAAGCACTTGATAATATAAGATTATCGATGCATTAATTAGTATTAAAAAAAACATTACATTAAGAATTTCAGGAAATATAATAGTGTAGAAGTTAACTATATTTAAAAGATAACCAAGAATTATTAGGACGTAACTTCCACGATAGACTTAAGCAGCAATAATATATGTAGTGGAGAGAGTAAACTATTGCATTTGCAAATATTTTAGGGCAAATTTTCCTTTTGGGCTCTGCACCAAACTAGTATTGCAGATACTCAATAAGATTATCAAGCATTGCTGCATCAGAATTGGTGGGATATGTTCAAAAGCAACATATATATATACAGCGTTTAGAAGAAAATTAAAGTAAAAAGCTATTACTTGATCGAGGAGGCAACCACCAAATTTCTTAGCAAGTGTGTGTAGACAATATAAACTTTGCAGCTCATAAATTGAATGAAAATTAAAGAAAACACTACGAATCTTTCACTTAAGGTCCCAAAGTTATTAGCATCTGTTGGCCAGTACATAAGAGTGTTGCTAAAGGTTTGGGCTATATCCCATTTGAATTGGACTTATGGGAAAAATTCAACAAAAGATAACTATGAGAAAGAACGACTGACTGCATGTGCCATGGGTGCAACAATTATCTTGTATGGTGTGGAGTGGAGCTTGTTGGGTATGGGGGAACTGAACTTAGGACCATGGGTGCATAGTAAATAATATTCTTAATCACTTGAGTTACAAGACCTTGGTTGACGCATTGTGAAATTTATTAAATCCCAAAACAGAAACCATACTAGGCATGTAAATAACAGCGGCAAAACCGTCCGGAACGCCTAGAATAGGAAGACACTGAGATGATGCTTTTGTATGGAGGTTGTAGGAGACTAGAGATTGATAACGATCTGTAGAAATAGAAGCCAAAAGAATCTCATCGCTCTTCCAAAATGCCAAAGCCTTGT